TGACATACCTACGGCAGCCAGGACAACAGGGGTGGCTAATGGGTGTACTTGTCAATAATCAATGACCAACACGATAAAAAAGGATCGCTCTCACAAGACCGTTGCGGTCCAGTGCCGCTGGGCCGCCTGGCCGCCCGGCCCGCAGCCTCTCTGCGCAGCTGCAGCTGTGCCGTGCCTTGCCGTTGCTCTGCCCTACGTTTCTTCGCTGCTAATTCGACTGTTAAAAAGTGTCGTTAAGCGTGATGAGTTGAGCTGAGAGAGGCTGTGAGAGGGGAAGAGGGGTGGGGGAGGGGGGGGGGGCGTCTCGTATACAGATAATACTCATGCCGAGGGCCGCGCTGCTTTGCGATGCTGAGCGGCGCGCAACGGTACAACTGCAGCCGCTGCAAGCGCGACGCTACGCGTGTAGGCCGCTAGATACAGACATCGCCCAACCCGGCCTGGGCCGGGCCGGTGGAGGAGCTCGGAGGTTCCATTTACCGGCTCGGGTTACTTTTTCGGTCCCCCACCCTCCCCTTGCCCCGTGACCTTGCTCGGCCCATGCCTCGGCGTGCTGTTGACCCGCGCCCCTCCCGGCCCAGGTCGGCCTGAACTCGCTGCAACAGGAAAGCAGCGCCCAGGCGAGGGGCGGGCGCGGGACGGGGCGGGGCGCCGAGGCAACAGGTCCTGCTGGTGGCGTGCCTCCAGGCGTGCCGGGCCGGTGTGAACAGGCAGGTCGCCAATAACCGCCCCTCCCTCCCCGGCCGCCGAGGGGCTTCCTGATGGCGGCCCGTCTGCCCGTGTATCGTGTCTGGTCGGCCCGGCTCCGCCCGGCCCAGCCATTCATACTTCCGGAACGACTTTGACACGCCGAGGAGCCCGGCGATCAGAGGCTGCCCAGACCCAGGCGCCGCCGCCGCTGCTGCCGCTGCTGCTGCCGCCTGCAGAACAATGAGTCGGCTCGTGCTGCTCGCGCCACGCCTCGTGGCAATTTGGCAGCAGAATGCACGATTGCTTGCTCGACTGGGTTTCCGTTCCAGCGGGCTGCTCCAGCTGCTCCTCCTGGCTCACGACTCCAGCGGCCCCCGGCGCGTACTGCGCGCTGATCACAATGAGTCCGTCC